GACAGAGTATACAGGACTAGGTACGTTCCATAAAGTCTTCCTGATGTTCCGACCAAGTTGAGAAAATGAGTTCAAACCAACATAAGAGATATTACATTTCCAAATTAGATGTGTAAAGTATTGTTCTATCAGAAAACTTTTATTCCGGTAACCATTTGACAGAAATAGAATATGTCTACAACAAGTCGGTCGCTAGCCAAATCTGCCTTTTTGATTACCATCCTTTATTGGAGAAATTAAGAGTGAATGCCGACCAAGACAACGCAATATTCGGTGTCATACAGAACCAGATAATTACATGAAACCCTTTAACTTAAATCGACCTGTCAGAAAGCATAGAGCGTGTGCGACCCGTCGGTTTTGGTAAATTAAAATAATGAAATTGTTATTTTTTAAGATGCTTTATACAAGTTAAGTTTCCTATCAATACGCATATATTAGGACTAGGATCCGTTTCATGAAATAATGAATGTTTATATCTCGAGAGAAAGGAACAGTAAGGAAAAGATAAAAGCAAGAGAATGTAATACTAAATAATTTAACTAATCATTTTGTGATACTTCTTGCGCAGAGTTCTTTTGAAACTGATACTATGAATAAATAAGAAAAACTTCGAAGGTATGAAGACCAAGATGGTGCGGCCTTTTGTATGGTCGCAGTCTCCTTTCATTGTATAGAAGTTGTTTGACTTTGTTTTCGCAACTTGGTCATATTAATAGGAAGACTTAGAGTAACGCACCTAGTCCGGAGTCCATAGTATTGAACGTGATTAACCCAGAGCAGAAGGAGAGATACCACGATTGCTTAACAGACAATTAGTCAAATAATCGACTTCACTTATAGTTGTAGTGTAGTGCTAACAGTTGTAATGCTCACTGACGATGCTGGAATATACTACGTCCACAGACCGACTCTGGAAATATCATGCATACTATGAACTCCGGACTAGATGCGTCTGAACGTCTTCCTATCAATATAGCCAAGTTGCGAATATAAGGTCAAACAACTTCTAAAGAAAAAGTTCGCTTAAAGACAAGAAATTGTAGAGCCAAAGATGGATACTCTATGAAGAAACTAAAAAACAAAATCGAAAAAGAAGAAATCATTTAATACATTCATGAAGTAAGCATATAAAGCAATCAAGGCGATATTTGTTTTTATTTATAAATTAAAATTCCAACTTATTTTAATCTTACTGGCAAGATATCTATGCTTATATCTAAGGCGTATATCTTTTAACTGTGTAGTTAAATTTGTATTTAGTGAGATACTGTTTTGTTGAGTATTGGGTATTGAAAAGGTTAATAGAAGAACCAGCTGAACTTAATTCCCTGATTTCAAAGTTTCTCAAGCAGCGTCAATGGGAAGCAAGCAAAAAATAATGGGTGAAAATCGTATGAGTGATTCTAAAAAAGTATAAATATTAAAAATAAATAAGTAGGATAAAATGCGGTATCTGAGATGGTGTGATATTTTGCATAATCGTGATCTCTACGTCATATGGTTCAGACATAGCCTTAGTAAAAAGTGATAAGTTGTTCCAATAAGTGTCGATGATAACTATGGCGAAACATTTGAAAGAACCAGATTAACGAGTCAATGTGGAAAATTTGGGTATATTATTTCAGTAAATACAAGCAGATTGCTAAAGTCGAAGTTGATTCGAGTTTAAAGCAGCTGTGTTGAAAGTTTTTGAGTTAAATTACATAGGAAAATAAAGCAAAATTTGACTAAAAACTGACAGTGTACAATTTTGGGAATATATAGAGCTTACTGTCCTATGACCTGAGCAGCATGAGCCCAATGCCGTAAGGCGCCGCGACGATTGCCATGACGTAGATAGTATCCTGCCAAGCAAGTGTAGGGATAGACATGCTGATTATCATAGTAAGTTAGGTCAACACGGACTGCCTCATGGTAAAGTGCTAAGGCAGGACAAGTTGATGGCGAAACTGAGTTTGAGGCAGGATGGAAAGGAGAAGGAGATGCCAAAAGCGGTGAAGATGATGATGCCAGTGGAGATGGAGAATTTGCAGGAGATGAAAAGTGTCCCGAGTGCGCAGCTCGGATGGGTGATGTCGCAGGATCTGGTTGTCTATAAAGGGGATATGCTCGCCGCTCAAAGGGGAAGTAAGACGTAAAGAACTGAATATTTGCAGTGTCCAAGAGTCCTTGAGTGTACTCGGATGCGGTCCCAGAGGAAGGAGTAGGTGAGATATGGGAAGGGATGGAACGAGTTGGCAATTGGATAACAGGTTGGTTATCAGATAGCGGAGGCGTAGAAAGTGACGGCGCAGGCCGGCCCAATGTGGGGAAGGAATCTTCAAGGTCAGCCAAATTTGTAAGTCCAAGTGGGTAGCGTGAGAGGAGACCAAGATCATAAAGCAGCCAAAGGAGACGCTGCTTTAACTCCACCATCTGAGTCGTACAGCGAGGTTTAAGTAGAGAGGATAACAATTATACGCAATCCATAAAATTATCGTCAATTTTTTACATTTTGAACATGAAAGTGTTAATGTGGATTGCACTACTTAACCTAATGCAAGCTTATAAAACTGGGTTGACCTCGTTGTCACAACTTGGTCTTGCTGTCATGGCGACTTAGCAGAACACAGCTAGTCCCGTCGTCTGCCACAGTAGTTGTCATAATTACCAGTATCGGACAGTGGACTTGGTACATTCTCAAACGTTTCGCTGGCATCGTAGTCGGCATCAGTGAGTGCGAAAATGCCAAAGGCCACACCATTTTGGTCTTCATATCTTCAATTAGACTACGGTAGTAAAATTGCAGTGAATACAGCCGGACAAAAAAGACATTTGTAAGTCAATCTTGCCATCTTACTTTTTAAGACTGTTGTAAACGATATGGTATCACTTCTAAGTTCTGTGAACTTAAGAGACCCCACCACTCTGATAAGGTTAATGAGTATCTCCAGCAGGCTTCTATTAAGAAACTAGGTGAGACCTATGATACTGAACGGCATAAGTTGTTTAAGTTTATAGATATTAAGTCAAAGCTCCGGCGTGATCTGGCCGGGATCCTGACTCCAAAAGACTTTCAAAAACTTCAGAGCCTGATCGACAGGAAATCCCGTAGGATCTCTGACTTAAAAATTACATGACGATAAATTGCGTAAGTTTGGGATGATAAGACAGCCTAAGTCAAAGCCAGTAAGCCCAGTTGAAGTGGCCCTCAAGGTAACAACACCTATTGACCAGCACGACGATCGGAAAAAATTATTAAACTTATCATCATTTCCTCTCAATACCGAAACAACCGCGTTCCTGTAAAAAGGACTCCACCTTTTAATTCAAAATGACAGAAGCCTTCGAGGAGATATCCTGGTGAAAGTTATCAATATCTCCGACAAGCTCCCTGAGAAGACAGAACGGGAAATGGAGATGGAACTAATACCAAAGATCTTGACCTATCAGGAGCCAACACACAGGAACAGATATGCCAGTATACGCAAAACGCTGGAAACGAATGAACAATTAGTCCTTTAGGCGGACAAAGGAACTACCGTGATAATGGACAAAAAACAATATGATGAGAAGATGGAACATATTCTACGAGACAAGACCATATATCGTATACTAAAAAGGACCCAACTATGAAGATCAATGGAATCTTAAGTGGCATGCTGAAACATATGCAAGGGAACGGGGAAATTGATGCATGGACAAGAAAATTAATCATAAGATACGCAAAAAATGCGAGCCACTAAGGCTGATAAAAAGTATGAAGCAACACACAAATTGGCCAAGTTCATATGTTTGAATCTCAAAAAAATTTAACAAGAGACTATCAAACACGGCGAAACATTCATATGAATTTTCTCAAAAAACAACATGGCACTGGAAGAAACAGACTTATTGGTAAGTTTCGATGTGGAACCCGTGTATACAAATATCTGTGGAGAACGGCCCTGCTGGAATTCTTGGGCCGAGAGGAGGATATCCTGGAATCACAACAAATCAGGATGGAGTCGTTAACAAGACTAGTTAACTTGACAATAAGGACAACCTATTTTACATTCAACTAGAACATCTCTGAACAAGTATTTAGACTTACCATGGGATCGCCGCTCTCACCACTTTTGGCAAACGTATGCATAAATAAAATATAAGAGAACTTCAAGATGGCACCGCCACAATCGCCAGTGCTCATGCGGTACCTGGATGATTATTTTGCACTTTTGCTACATGGAAAAGAAAAACTGGAAGAGTTTCTGAAGTTTGTAAACCAGATTGATGAAAAAATTTAATTCACGATGGAAATAAAGGAAGATGAGCAGTTACCGTTCCTGGATGTTGAAGTGATTCGCTCTAATGAGACACTCAAAAAGTAATTGTTTAGAAAGAAGTCTTATGCTGAGATAATACCCAATTTCCTATTCCATCACAATTACAGGCTAAATATAGCAGTAATGAGGAGCATGATCATCCAAAGCCTACGCTTAACGGATGTAGAATTCTGATAAGAGGAGCAGGACAAATTGACTATGATATTTCTCGGCAATGGTTACTAAAGCGAAGTGATACAAAGAAACATACGGACCGTGAAAAGCCGATGGCAGAACGAATACTGTGAAAGAATAGTAAGGAAGATGAAGGATTCATACAAGTGGATATGCCTACCTTCCTGCGAACTAACTCAAATACTATGGTCAATATTGAGGAAATGGAATATTTGGGTGGCCATAAAAGAAAAAACGAAACTTTTCACAAGTCTACCGACGCAACATGAAAGGGTAGATAAATTGGATTGTTCAGGAGTTTATTGTATATCATGCGGCGCCTGCAATCAGAAATATATTGGCTAAAAAAGGAGAAAAATTAGTCATACAAATCAAGGAACATCAAAGGCTCTGCAAGTAAATGAATACCGAAAAATCGGAACTAGCGGAACACATCGCACAGACTGGACACGTGATCAGTTTGAAGGCAACAGAAAGAAGAGCCTCATACTGTGACAACACAAGGAAGCGGAAGATTAGGGACGCCATTGACATACTTGGGAAGAAAAATATAATTAACAGGAAATTGGAGTAAGGTAGCGCTAGTGATAACATTGCCTAGTGCCTAAGCAAACTCGGGGAAAACCAGAATAGAGCAAGACTAGCAAAAATGACGCCTGGATCAAGGATCTACTGTTAACCGAAAGAAAAAGAGAAGGGGTTTTACCC